TATCACAATTATATTATAAATTTTGCTTTATATTGTCTTATGTACTCAAAACGAAAGAAATATTTTTTATGTATCTATTTATACACAAAAAGTTCTTTTTAAAATAGATCCTGCATTTTATAGAATAAACATGTAATATTACAAAAGACAGCTTGCAATTCACAAAACAGGAAAACAAGTAGTGTTGTAGAAAGATCAAATTGAAAAATCTGTTGAAATATTGTCTCTATAATAAAAATATAATTAAGATATGAAATAATATATCTTTTCTTTTTAATTAAGATAAAAAGACACAATATACCTAGTAAAAAAGATTATATTAATAATACACAATTGCTTGGATGCATGTCGTTAGTTTTATAATTATACTTTTTATACACACACACACACACACACACACACACACACACACACACACACACACACACACACACACACACACGTTGCAGCACATATATTTGGACGTCAGTTTTGTAAACGTAAGTTTCATAGTTCTTTATTAAGAACGATTATTATCAACCATTATGGTTCTTCTTCTTGCAATTATTACTAATATTAGCTACTTTAAAATCTAATTACTTTAAACAAATGATAAAAAAATTTATACATAGGCTTGTTACTTTACGCATAAATGTTAACGCATCTTAAGTAACACTGATGTGTATTATGTCTTTCTTACCAATTATTGCACTGCTGTAATATATATCACGAGATCATATGTATATTGTTAAAAAAAGTTGATTCGATATTATTTTTCTCTTTTATGTTCTTTTTGTTCATCCAATGGTTCTTCACGAACGGCTAATACCATTCTTAACATAAGAACAGCGAGTAATTTGTCTAAAGGGTCCATAAATCCTCGTTGTATCCATTTTGGTATCGTCGTGCGTGCATGAGAAAATCCCAATTTTTGAAGGATATAATCGATTCCATAAGGTTCTATACTTTTGCCGGCCCATGATAGTAATCTTGATAGAAATTCATAATCAAATTCTAGATGATTTCGACACAAAAAGAAATTATATTTAAAAAATAACTTACCTGACTGTCGGTTCTAAGTGCCATGTTTTACATCTATATGATCGCCAGTCTTTTATAAACATTTCAGCCGGGTCAAACTGCTTACGTTTTTTCTCATCTTCAGAAACAGTACCTGCGCTAGATATATTAACTGCATTTATATTTTTCCTTTCTTGTGGATCAGGACTGTGTGCTCTTGCACCCATGTTTTGCATTGTGTGCTGTAATGTAGAAAATTTGATAAGAAAATAAAATATTTTTCTCTATATATACAGATGAGATATTTAGATTTGAAACTATTTTAAATATATCTTTAATAAAGTCCTTACCACTCTTTCTTTTTCTTTTACATATGACGTGATAAGATCATGTAGAAAGAAAAAGGCTTCGGCATCAACGGTGACAAATATGTGATCTTCAAATTCTGTTATAAAGCTGCATTCGACTAATGGTTTTTCGCCTAAAAAAAGGAATATAACATAATAATAAGGTCTCAACAGTGATTTTTGAAATTAAACGTTTTTACATATACTACATTATTCTGAAGTTATGTTAATGGTGTAACATCTTGTGTGTGCATGTATGTGTGGTGCGCGCGCGCGCACATGTATACTGAGAAGTATACAAGAATTAATTTCCCATGCTTATTCAAACGTTACTTATCAATTATATTAAATAATTATAAAAATAATAATTATAAAAATGTCTAAGCAAGTAGTTTCTTTTTTAGTTCGTGTATTATCTAGGCCAAGATTATAACATAACTATAGAAAAAAACTATAAAGTTTATTTCATTTGTTTTATTTCATTATATTTAAAATTTTTTAATATTTTAAGAATTTCTTAAACAGGACTACATCAATTTACTTAGATATTGCTTAAGCATTTATTTAAACATATAAAGCTAAATAAATTTCTAACATTTCTTGTCATTCCAAATATAATAAATTCATTCATTCCATACTTACTATATAAGATATGCTTAGGTAATCCTAAAAATACACGAAAAGAACCAATTGCAGGATAATTAGCACAATGAAAAAAATATATAATATTACACGATTTGTAGAATGATTTAAAGGGAAGGATTTGAATCGATAGTACACATTCATTAATATAAATCCATAACAAAATCCATTACAAATAAAATCATTGTACTAGTTATTAGTATTATAGAAATGTGTCTAATATACATCTTTGTAATTAACATATCTTTATATCTCAAAAAAAGAAAAAAATTTTATAACGTAGATTGATTTTTTTATAAAAACAAGCGAGTGACATTATACAAGTGTATATTTCAACAATTATGCGATCGACTTCTTTTGATTTACGTACCTATGACATCAGGTGTTCTGGCTGTTTGTAAATGTTCAGTTTTTAGATGCAGCTGCAACGAGGGCAAAGCGAATATCACTTCTCGCGTGTGCGAATGTTCTTGCAACTTGCCAGATGTTGCGGATGTGCTCCTTCCGCGCGATGTATTACTACCATCAGATGTATTTTCTATTCTATCTCTCTCGACACATGGAAATCTATCTACCGCTGTGCAACAAAAGAAATTTGATACAAGTGTATAATTTTACAGAAGTAATAATAAAAATTATTTTCATATGAATTTAATACATACCATCGATTTCACTACTAGCAAATGCATAATGAAACCATTCTTGTAAAGATTTAAATTGCGGTGGAAATAAAACACTTCGACTTAATCTACATACGGTTGCCATGGAATGATGTCTCGCGTGTTGTTCTTGCTGGTGCCCCAGACTGATGGTTAATGTCTGTACAACATGAACGTCATACGTGTTGGGCGCTGCGTGTAAAAAGAAATAAATTTATGATATATCTTTGATTTATAAAACGTGGTTCTATAACATGATAACTGATATTTAATGTTAATTACTTTCAACACTTGGGATTTCTTGAGCTTCTGTAGCGAAACTTATACAGGGCTCTTTTAACGAAAACAAAGCCCAACTTTTACTTTTAAAATTAATTCCGTGGAAACACGCTAAACTAATATTACAGCCGTGAAGCTCCATTGTACCACCAAGAACGGTGCCAGTTGATGGCAAAGAAAATCTTAGGCTTCCTAATTGAAGACCAGCCACTTGGGCCAATACTCTTTGCCAATGTCTATGATGTCTAGCATCTGATATCGCAGTCTGATTTAAACTCCATGGACCTCCTATAATAATAATAATAATAATAATAATAAATTATTATAATTATATGATATATTATAATTTTCATTACATGATGACCAATAACTCCGTCATAATGCGATATATCATAACACTGTCAATTTACCATCAATAGCAGATTTTTTCTTTTGTTGTCTTTTCTTGATACTACTATTGTTCATTCTTTGATGCTTTGGTTGTAACGAGCTAAATACTCGTTTGCTACTTTTAAATTGTTGACTGAAAAACTCATCCAGTTTGTAAAACATTTTCAGTAAATCGGCTGTTGTTGACTTACTAATCATAATTTGTAATTGATCCCAACCCAAATCACCATGCATAAAAATGATAGCGGGCCTAAACATTTTTTTCTTATGTATTTATGTATAGATTTGTAACACATTTAATTTCGATAAGAGATTTAAGATTGTGTTTCATTGTTGTTTACTTAATTAAAGCAATGTATTTAAATTCATTAAAATTAAAATACCAACCTTCGGGTTGGCATAAAAGCATCACCACTGCTGCTACGATTAATCTTCCATTCGTCTCTAAGAGTAACATCTAACGAAGACACTCGAGACATTAGTACACTTGTTCCCATATAATCCAATCGTAATTCCAACGCAAATAATTTCAATCCTACTGTGTGATCAGGTTCTATTCCTGGTTCTTCGCGAATGTGTACTATACGTAAAAAGTCATACACAAAATGTAGATTAAACTTCATAATACATCTATTTACATAAATTCATTGTTGATTTATCAATTTACGTAAATTTAATTGTTAAAAAACTCACTATAAGTATCAATTCTACTTAATTCAATTGTTCCACCGACTATACCACCTTTCGCATCTAAACTCGACCCTCCTAAACCAATACCTATGTACAAATTTTTATGTCCTGTGCTGCCAATAGACAGTCTCCCGTCTGATCTGAAATCTTTTGTCATCCAGCTAACATTGCCCATTACATTACCCATATTCATATGCACGTTTAGACGCGTAAAATTCACTGCGAATAATACCAATGTTTCCCACGCAGATTCTCTTAATTTGATTTCAGACACTTGTTTATCGGTAGTAAAACTCCAGCCTCTTCCAATATCTTATAAGAGTAACATTTAATAAGTAAATAACGTTAAGCTTCGAATTTATTTTTGTTAATTATACAAACAATTGAAAATAGATACCTTTTAATCGGGTGGGTCTTGGCATATCACTTTCCAAGCTTAATTTTAATTTTTCTCTGTTTAATATTGGACTTCTTTCAGGTGCGCTTTTTGACAATGAATCACATGCGTGTCTGTCGTAATGCTTCAACAAGGAACTTCCCATAACCGCTTCTTCCTGATTTGATGGAATGTTCCCATCCTCTTCGGGATATGCGGTGCCTGAACTTAAATCTCCTAAAAATAAGCGTCTCACGATGCTACGCCGATACCAAGCCTTCGGAAATGCCAGAATTTCTGTTAATCGACGCATATCGTATTTAAACGAAGCAGATCCAATATCAATAATTGCTAAAAAATTAATATTAAGAAAATTTATTAAAACAAATAAATCGTTAAGTATCTTAATAAACTATATTTAATAAACACAACATGTTGTTTCTCGATTTGTATTATGCACATACTTGAAAATCGTATGACTGCACGACCAGTATCCGAAAGCTTCTTAAGTTGTTCACTTTGAAAGTTCAATTTCCTACTTCTCGATAGATGAAATTTTACAAATTCAACATTGATGCTTAATGAATCTTTTCTCTCACTATCGGATAAGGGCGACCACTGTGCTTCCTTTAGTCCTGTTTTCTTTCCACCGCCATATGGATGAAAAATATAAACAGAAAAATCTGCTAAACAACCTGTGACAGATAATCCACCAATAGCCGAACCTATTTCTTTGCTCGTTGTTTGTGATTTAAATTCTCGAAATTCGATTAACTCTTCCTCAGCACGCTTTGATGAAAAAATGATATCAAGGGATGGTAATTGCAACATACATTCTACTCTTGAAACTGGTAAACACGAAAATCTACAAAAAGATTGAAAGTTATAAAACGAAAAATATTCGAGGATTTCATAAAATTTATGTTACATTATTCGTTAATATACCTAAATGTAGATGGCTGCATATGAAAATACACTATGACATCAACGGGAAAACTGGCATAAACATAATTGCTACTTGCAGCGGTGGCAGCCCATGATGTATTTTCTGTATTTTCTAATAGAAAGCCAGCATTCGTTTGCACATTACTCTGAAAGTTATTCTTGCTCGGAATTGGTTCTAGAGTTTGTTCTAAAAATTCAAGAATATGAGGACTGATAATAGTTTCCTCTGGAATACTTTGAAGAGTCATCCAAGCAAAAAGACTAGCTTTTTTAGTACTAGATTTTCTAAGTGCTGTCACTGTAATTGGATTTAACAAATTGTTCTCAGCAGATACACGGGGAGATAATGATTCTTCTGGAAGAGTTTTAGATTCGTAATGAACCTGCAAAATAATTTCCTTTTATATCACTTTGAAAAATATATAATTATCAATAGGTGTAAAATGTTACAATGTACCTTAACGTCTAACCCAGGAATATGAAAAATGGTTAAATCTACCAAAGGCACACTTGTATGCTGCAGATATTTTAATCGAGATGTGCTAGTTGTTGATGGTTTCTCTTTACTATTTAAATGTTTCCTACTGCTACTGGGACTGCCAGGTTGAAATTCAAATGTACCACCAGAACATGATCTTTCTTTCTTCATTCTACTCAAACTATAAAGCAAAGAAAAATTCAAAAAGTCATAATTATTAAAACAATTAAAAGTTATATAGTATAGTTAAATATTATATATATTATTTAAAAGTTATATATTATATATATTATTTACAGTTTAATTTCATCTTCTTTTCCTGGATCTTTTGTATGTAATACGCACTTTCCGCTATTAATTAAAACTTTGACATCGAGTTCAAAATCTATATTAGGCTCTTGAGTTTTTTGAGCTGTAATAAATGGTGAAGATGTTGATGAAGCTTGTTCTTTTCCAAATGAATCAAGTAATGGTGCACTGCAAAAAAAGAATAACATATGCTTTTGATATACTTTATAATAAATATATATCTCCCCAAAAATAATATAAATTATTGACGGTACATACTGTCCCTCCATGCTATCGTAACTAGATGTACAACTAATATCTTTATTTTTTTTCTCAATTCAACTCGTTCTCCTTCTATCTCGATAGCTTCTGGCCATTCTAATTCTCCCTCTGGTAAACTCAAATCAGAACTAGCGCTGGGTAGAGATGATTGCCTGACAGAAATCACAAATACATAATTCATATTTTTATTATTAATAAAATTTTAACCGTACCTGCACATCGTATGGGTATCACTAAAAGTGACTCGTGGTCCACTAAGTCCTCTTACTCGCAAGGAAGCTGATCTATATAACAAAACGTTTTTTTTAATTAAATACGCGCGCGCATGTATTTCACATTTATTTCACATTTAACTTTAAGTTAAAATTATTAAAAAAAAAAATAGATTTAAAAAATATCGTTTAGTAAATCATATCTAAAAATTAGACACTCTTCCCTCCACACACACACACACACACACACACACACACACACACACACGCGCGCGCGCGCGCGCGCGCGCGCACGCACACTCAAATAAATACATACCGACTAGGACCGCTTCTAGGACTGCTTTCATAACTAGCTGAATTTGCCGAATTAATTTCAGTATTCATATCTTCTGGGCTTTCTAAATGATGTTCTGGTGTGGGTGAGGGCACAATAAAGGATCTTGAACGATATGTATTCGTTTTGCTACCAAGACCTAATTTACCCTTAATACCAGAAGCTTTTACAGATTGTCTTCTTAGTTTTTGAATCATATCTCTGAAAAACATATCTCATATATCAAAATATACAATTGTAAATAAAATAAATACAATTGTAAAAAAATAAAAAAGTTATTTCATAACATACCTTCTAAAATCTTTGAATACCATCGCTTCCAATTCATGCAGACGTTTCATTTCCTGTTCAATTGTTCCATGTGATGCGCCCAATGATCGCAAATCATTTATAATTTTAGCTTGTTCGTTCATCTCTTTTTCTATTAGTTGTGATCTCTTTTTTGCATCAAGTGTAGGATCGAAGATAAATGCCGGAAGACTGTCCGTCCAATTTTTCGATTTTTTCATTAATATGCTTTCCTACAAATGTACATAAATTTAATTTGTATAAATAAAAGACATCATTATTTTAATTCAATATTGAAATACTTAATAAAGTCTGAAAGTAAACTTAAGCTTTGTACGTCAAGATTTTATGCACATATTATGTAAAATACGTCTTTCTTCCGTCTAAGTCTATATTACTTATTTAAAGCACAAAACATAAAGCACGAAAGTTACGTACGCATGCGTATAAAGGGCAAAAAATAAAATTAATTAAACCATACTTTTTTTTTAACCTGGCTAGTGCTATTTTCTGGTTGATCACCATCATCACTGTCATAATCTGGAGGAATGTAAATATCATCCTCTTCTTCAGAACCAGTTAACATTGTTAATGTATGCCCAAGAGCTGATAATTGTTGTCCTACATTGACATCAAGATGAATATCAACTCCTTCCATTTGCCATTGAACGTTCAAGATCCATTTAGCGTTATCTAAAAAAAAATAAATTATTTTTAAAAAATTCTATACAAAAAAATATTATGTAAAAGTTTTATATTTCAAAAATTAAAAATAAAGATCATACCAGATTTATCTTGTTTTTGTGCGATAGTTCTACTACATACTTCGTACGTGCCTTCTGATACAACGCATAAATTCATTATATTACTATCAGTCATATCTGGTTTCCAATCGTCCAAAGAAGTTTCAAAGTCTTCTGCAAATCTCAAGCATAACCCTACAAATCTAATAACAGAGATATGATGAATTAAAAAGTTAAAGAATCTATACTATAAATGAGATTAAAACACACACACACACACACGCGCGCGCGCGCGCGCGCGCGCGCGCACTCACACACATACGGCTGTACCCACACATACACACATACATACACATATACGTACCTTCCTTTACTAACTAAACTACCGCTACTACATGCAGATATGCTTGTATTTTCAAGTGTCACTACAACAGCCCCTCGCGATTCTCCATCATAAAGGCCTCTGTTTAATCTCCAATTATTCGGTGGCAAGGGATTAAGCGGCAGACATATGCCCATATCATCAACTGTTAATTGCAAAAATAATGTTCCAAGATGAGGTGCGCTGAGTTGACTCGTTAATTGCCCAAATGGAACTTTTTCAAATACTTGCTGAGTGGCAGTTAATACCTCTTTATTCAAATTAGATCGCTTTTCATTCCAGTATTCATATGCGTTTTTGTAATTTAACCAAACGAGTATGGCTTTATCGATAGCTATCGGTTGTATATAAATTAGTGGACGTTTAAGAGTAATTAAAACTACTTCCTTGTCTTCACCCTGAGCCATTTCCTCTTGAAATGCATTTCGTAGTCCTATTCTAGTATTGAAGAAAGCAAACTGCTGAAATTCGGGCTCTGCTTCTTCAAACAATATATTCTTTAGTAATTGTCCTAAACTTAAATTAATATCAACTTGCGCTTTGCCAAATAATTTCATATAGGGATTAGGTTGAGTAGCTCCAGAAACATTTTGCACTCTGTTAGATAATTGAAATTCTACCGCGCCGGTTTCTAATCGCACTGCCGAATTAGTTGGAGTTGTTGCAGTCAATTGAATTCTCTGTAAACAAATAAAATTTTTTCCGTGATAGTAGATAGTATTTTCTAAAATTAATCAGAAATTAATACGGATTTATTAAAATGTTATTTGCAAATATGTAAATATGCAAAACGGAGAAAATGTAACAAAATTTTACAAAAATTTTTTTACCTTGATACGTATAATCAGCGAGAATAAAATTCGTTTCAAAGTAGAATTGGTTGATTCGTCATCTTCGAGCCACAAAGGCACTGGCTTTTCCCCTCCGTAGACTTTCTGTACTACCTCGTTTACTTCTTTCATAAATACTTTTTGTACAAATACTAAATGATTTAAAAGATCCGTCGTTAATGAATGCTCAAATACTCCAATATCTGCAGTTGCACTCAAATAACTACCTTGTCTTAATACGACACCATCTGCAAAAAATTTCATTTAAAATATGCTTATTGAAACAAAAGATACATCATTTACCTACTACTTACCTGCTAATTTGCTATCATTCAAATTGCTGCTTCCATCTTGAATGTACTCGGCTGAAACGTGCACTTTAGGTAGTTCGATACTTGCTTCAGATGGTAAATTTGCTTCCGTCACTTGCAATTTCGTCGTGAAACTTAGATTATGATGAGGCAAATCTATAGTAAACTTAGCCTTGCTGCCTGTTATACCGGAACTATTCACTTGATCCATCTTATATTGTGCTTGCAGAGACGGTAACAATGCCGCGGTTATACTTAGACTTTGAAGTATTATGTGGAACTGCATAACGATAGGTTCTAAAAGACCAGACACGGCCTGTGGCTTTTCTACGTCAATCGAAGGAGCTGGAGCGTAATGATGCGGACTGCCCGGAACAGTGTCTACATCGTCTTGTTGTTGGCCTCGCGACATTCTCGATGATGTTCTAGTAACTCTTAATTCCTGTAATGTAATTTTTTTTTATTTACATACGTCTCTTTTAACAATTTAAATATTATTATATGATCAATATTTACCTGTAGTGTTGACGATAATTGTTTGCTGCCTCTGGTCATCATCCCATGCAAGGCTACGGGATGCTGTGGTATATCAATGTTTACAGCGCCGACAGTCAGTAAACCGCTATTCTTGTCTTTTTGACGTCTCGTAATACTAGAATACAAAGCTTGTGATTTACCAACGGTAACTTTTACGACTGTCTGTTGACTGGGAGCAATCCCTTCCAGTAAGACAATCATAGTTCTACCAATTTGTCCAGTCATGCTACATTCTAAACTTGCAGGTCGCGATTTCTTGCGGCAAGTTAGACTAGCGTGTAAACTAGTAATTTCTGCCTCAAGTTTTAAGCCACTCAAAGTAGCTAATAATCTGGTTCTATGAATTCGTGCGACGCCAAAAATAATTAGTCTGGTTCTTTCACCCGTTACAATATCTATAAATAGCATTCAATTATTAAAGTTGCAAAAATATGGGAAATGTTACAAAAAATATTCGATATTTACTTAATTCTCTCGATGGAGGGATTGGCGTTGAACTATTCTCCGCGTTCAATCCTTTTTCAATATCAACATCCTTGGTTTCATTCAAAATTTCATATTTTCTTCCACTTTTATAATGTTCCGCCGCATCTGCGGGTATCGAAAATCGATGAGTAATAGTTTTAGTTTCTGGGCGAGTTGCATATAAATCCAGAAGATAGTATATAGTTTTCCAGCATCGTGGCGTTAAGTGTGCACTATCTTTACACGTATCCGTGAATTTATCTAAACCAGATCCGCTAGGACTTGCTCCGAAACTGGGCGTAATAACGCCTTCGCTTAAATTAATATAACCCTTTACACTTTTGCCAGTACTTCGTAACTTTTGTGCGAAACTTTGCGGCCGAGACCGTACAGTTGTACTTGATAGCATTTTCGATTGATTTGGTTCAAAACTGCTATGAAGCAACGGTGCTTCGGTCTTCTTGCCGCCAGTAAGAAACTGTTCTTGTAAATCGGATGCTAAAAGAATATTTCATCAATAGCAGAACAAATCATCATGTATACATAATTATTTATAATTAATGAAATAGAGTATATATTTACTGGATGATGAACCATTTTTTGCGACGTTGTCATTAACGATTAAGTTAGTATTACGTTTTCCTTCAGGTTGTTGCTCTTTTAACTCCATCTGTGTCTCTTTAACATTTTGATACATGTTACTTATCTGATGTAATAATCTGAGAAGAGGCATGTTTACTTGCTGACTTATATAACGGATATTTAAACTAATGTTAACCACTGTACTAGTATGTTTCTTTAATTGGCCTCTAGATATATATAGAACATTTTGTTTTTGTATCATATCATCTACTGTCATATCGGCCATTTTTTTAATATCAATATCAACGCCAATTCTTTCGCATAAAAATGCCGGTGTTTCTGGTGGTATATCGAGATAAAATTTTGAGTTAGTTCCTTTTTTTGGCTGGCATTTGGTATCTATAAGTATCAAAATGAGGAATATATATATATATATATATATATATATATATATATTGAGATTGTTTATGAGTACTATATTGGCAAATTTTTTAGATCTTATGACGTAAACATGTTTTAAAATTTTACAATCCATAAAAGCTATATTTTTTACTACAGAACGAGCCAAGCTGGAACGCCGATAATGCCACAAAACTGTGTTGCATTGCCATCTCCAGATTTGGCAGAGTTGATTTCTGGAATCGATACAATTAGTCTCTCATCTGAAATATCTGACTCGGCAAATACGAATCTAGAAGTTGGACAAGAAGCAGTGCCAGTTACAATTCATCCACTCAGCCCAAACAGTGAGAAATTACAAAGTTTTGCAAGTAATGTTAAGGGCCAACAATCCGTTGTTACTAGCTCACCTATAAATACGAATGTCTGGGCGGATTCTCCAAATTATGTAGTTGCTCAACATGGTGCTCGTCTTTCCACCCAAGATCTAGAAAGATTACGAACATTAATAACGGAATTCTGTTTGCGAAGTTTGTTGCCTTATGTAGAAAAACAGATTGGTTTATTGAACGACGTGATTTCAACTAAGAGAGTCAGTAGATCGCTGTTCAGTGCTACGAAAAGATGGTTTAGTACAAATAAGCCTGGTGCACCAGGTTCGGCCCCATCAAATGCTGTAATGTAAGAGAAAATAAAATTTTATTAATTATTTATTAATTATTTATCAAAAAAAAAGAAAGATTTTCTTCTTATTCAACAACATCATCTCGAAGTTAATTATATTAATAAAATATTGGCGATTCTCTGAAATTTCACGCGTTTGTTTCAGTTATACGGCAGAATCACCAGAGTTACAATTACGACGTCTAGGCGATTTGTGTTTCATGTTCGGTCATTATTCGCTCGCTTATCAAGCTTATCACAGCGCGAAGCGTGATTTCGCGGCCGATCAGGCATGGGTGTATTACGCGGGCGCTCTTGAAATGGCCGCTTTAAGCGCCTTCATGCAAGGCGAGACGAACAGGAAAACTATCGAATACATGGACGATGCGATATTGACTTATGCGAATAGTTGTAAAATGCCTCAATTTGCGACAAGGGCGACACTGCTCAGTGCCGAATGTTTGAAGGGTCGGGGGTTGTACGGAGAAGCTGCGAAGCAACTAATACGAATGACCAGCGAGGATTCCGATTTACGCTCGGCTTTGCTGCTCGAACAGGCCGCTTATTGCTTTATCGGTCCAAAAATGATGCGTAAATACGCCTTCCACGCGGTCCTGGCTGGACATAGATTTTCGAAGGCTGGTCAAAGAAAACACTCGTTGAGATGTTATCAACAAGCTTATCAGGTAGATATAAACGCATTACTATCTCTAGTAAAAACGCCATATTTCGTCAGAAATTTTCTTTAATAAAAACTTTGTTGTTTTATGAATAACGTTGTAAATAATGTTATAAATAATGTATGATACTAGGTATATTATGAAAGGGGCTGGTCTTTGGCTGAAGATCACATCCATTTCACGATCGGCAGGCAAGCTGCATCTTTGAAACAAATCTCCGAGGCGGTGAAGGCGTTTGAAAAATTACTTAATGCTTCTAGTAAACAACATGCTCCACAACAGGCTGCGTTTTTGCGAGAATTTTTACATACTCATAATGTAAGTATAATAAGCAATAATCGAGTTGTCGGACAGCGATTACACTGAACATCAATTGGATGATTTTTGTTCACGTGGTCGTCTACAGTTGTTGTTTCAGGAGAATAACACGAGTTGTACAGGACTTCCTATTTTACCTTTACCATTGTTAGATAATGACAATATCAAAGTGCTGTATGGTCCGTTGGGCAAACAAACCGAAAACAATATCCCAGCGAGCCACGTCACGTTCAGTATGGAAGAAACAAATGACGCGAAATGGTCGAAAATGGAGGAATTGTTAATAACCGAGGCACAAGGTTCTCCGCCTATGATATTTAAGCCGACAGTCGTACTGTATTCTAGGACAAGTAATAATGCTGTCAAGCCAAATGCAGTTTTGGATGAACCAGTGCATTATTCTATCGATTTGCACAATCCATTACATGTTCCGCTACCACTGTCAGATGTGACTCTGTTATGGTCATTTACTTGCAATAATGAAACTGTCACAAACGAAATGAAAACGATTGACAGTTCGATTGATTCGAATGTCATAGACACGATCTTGCTGCAACCGGCATGTAAACACAATATTGTGTTGTCTCTTACGCCCAGACGAGTGGGCGAACTGAAGGTTTTAGGTATAAGTTACAAATTGTCCAATCCGATCCAGACGACAAGCGATTCATTAATTGCAAATTCAACCACCATTATTGCCGGTAAGAGATTATTTGAGATTACGCCGCCCAAATTAAAAAACGTCAAAGAGAAACCTGGCATGAATATCTACGGGAAGGATTACAGACTGGAAATGAATGTGATAGAAAAGGCGGCGTTTATGCAGGTATACTTTCACGAGAAACGTGACGTTATATGTGTCATTGTGAACGTACAAGTTTGAAATCTTTATAATTTTTTTCGTAGATACTCTTTAGTAAATTGTCACCCGAAATGCTGTGCGGTGAAATACAGAGGGTAGAAGTTACTTTAAAAAATATAGGTAACGCACCGTTGACGAACATATACATTGCATCTACCGATGCCAAACTTTTCACTTTAGGAAATATGGAAGACGATAGATTTGGAAGCGAAGGTAAATATCTTCAGGATATTTTATCATTTTATTTTTTTTTTTGTAAGATATCTTTGTATTTTATTTTATCTGAAACAAAAGCCTTTATTGTTATTATATATATTATCGAATATGACTATATGTTTGCAGATTCCATTACAAAGAAGAGTAGTAGGTCAGTCACAAAGGTGATATTACCGATCTCGAAGAATGGTGTACTAAATGTAGGCGAAACTCACAAAATGCCACTTTGGGTACAGGCACCACACGAGAAGGGCACTCACAAACTAGATCTGCTTTTCTATTACGAAAGTGTCGAATCAAAAACTGCATTGAAACACCGTTTATGCCGACATACTTGGCAATTAACAGTGTTAGATTCAATACAGATTACCGCGGTTGCTGCTAGAAGTGGATTGTTCAAGGACGACTCACCTACGTTAAATCTAATCATGTCTGTTAAAAATACCAATCAAGTTCACGATCCATCTATAAATGAAATTATCCTGTCCGAAGTGTCGTTTCAAAGCGTCATCTGGTCTGCATTTCATTCCTCGGTTTTGCCGCCAAGCATAAAGGTGCAACCTCAGGAAGTATTCCATTTGATGTTAAAACTGAGGAAGAAGAAAACCGACAGCAGATCGACCATTTCCGACGTGTCCTTGACTTCTAACGAAGACGACAAAACGTTGCTCAACAGTTATCCGTTCATCAATTTTGTACAGAGGCGGCACATTCAACCACTGGATGTGAATGAAAGTTTGAATGATGCGCAGCAATTTCAATCGCAGCAGACTGTCGAGCGCGGCTCCGTGTCGGATATCTTCGCATTGAATTCCACACTGATCGTTAAGTGGTGTGCCAACGTGACGGAAAGCGGCGTGATCACCCGGAAGGCGGTCGGACAACATCATTTCGAGCTCGAGCATTTGAACAAGACGTACAAACACCCGAAGGAACCGCGTACCGAACGCAGCGAGTACGGCGCTCGCTTAAAAGTTTTCGGGCCGGACCGGAATGTGTCGAGTGCAGTTAGTGTTCCTCTCAAGGATCCCGTGTGGGAAGCAGAATATCTGAAAAGTCTAATCTCTTTCTCTCTCAGCCATCACCGACAAATTACACACGATTTTCGACAAAGCCGATTGTGCATCGTTCCCGTGACGATGTATTTACAAAATCACTCGGAAATGCGAGTCGACGTTAAAATAAGTACGATAGGTACTAGTAGGTAAGCGAAATGAAATATTGTATTTGCCTTAGCATGTTTGATACTGTAGATTGCTTATCTTTTATCTTCTTTATATTTGTCTCTTCATTGTTACGCGTATATATATATAAAATGTAATTTTCTTTTGCAGTGAAACTCATCTTCCGAATATTAAGTCACAGCTTTACTCTCCGCAAGCTTCGACGTATTACAAATACGCGGGCCACTCGTCAATTTATTCCAATGTTGAAGCGCACGCGAGTAATATTATCAAATTACTCGCCGTATTGCCTGGCACTGGAACGTACGACTTAGCGGCACGAATTGAAATCTCTATTAAAGTTGTAAATAGCGAGGAGTACATCCCTCAGAAAGGCAAAATGGAGAGTATATGCGTAATTAATGAGGGCAGTACGTAGATTATACCTGTCGCGATTAGAGTCACTATGGAATATGGAAGTACTATTTTTAGCGTAATTCACAGAATCATTCCTTGTCAGCATATGTACATACGTGGTATGTTGAAAATTGTTACATTATACTATAATTGATATTTTAATAATGTCAACGTATTTTTTACCTGATACACGTTTCATCGTCGGTCGCTTTACACGGTAATTCTCGTGTACTCCGTTGGGTAAAAGGAGACGCGCGTGAATCAAAATTTTTCATTTTCAGAATCGACTTTGTTCGATCGGTTTAATGAATGTAGTTATCTAATTTTTTTACGACCTATTAGTCTCAAGCTACCTCACGACAAATTTATGAAATAGTCGAACCCGCGACAGAAATTTTAAACAGCTTTTCTCTGCCGCATCAGGATAAATCGGGAACGACTGCATGTCTTCAACTGCCAAACAAACAATACACGTTACCTTTTATTAAGACATATGTATAAAGCATGTTTATAGTTATCCGTTACTTTCACGCTATCTTTATCAGTGAAAGAAATTTTTTTTCTTTACACAAAAATGGATTCTCTTCAAATCTCGGGGGATATAAATTAAAAGTCATTTTTCTCATTGCATAAAAAGGAGTAAAAGATACCACTCTTGTTTTTCTATGTAAATTTAATATTTATGTATATTTAGCGATTGATGTGATTGTTTACGTGACAGCGTAAAGAATAGAGATTAGATTTTTCAAACACATTTCATGAATACATGAAACGTGAATATGGATTGGGATTTTTTGAAGTGTTTGGAAGGATTCAAAAGAACAAATAAGGAATACTTGAGGTTTTTTAGATAATAACTTGTATCTTTTGTACAGTATGTCAGAAAGAAATAAGAAATGTAATAAGTCAATTTTCATAAACGACTAAAGAATTATAGATTATAATACAATGTTAGAAAAGGGTTTTGTATATCTTCTCGTAATTCACGAGTCAAGTAAATATTAGGCAGAGTTATTTTCCTTTAATGATTGTAATGGCGTTTGTAACATACTATCTTTCTATGACGAATTAAATCTTTTTTTAAACTTCCCATTAAGCAAGAAATCTTTAAATAACTCTGCAAAAAAGGAATAACGTATAGTCATTATGAGATCCTTTAAAAAATACAAAGATTTAATTTTTTGTAAATATAACGATATTTATTTTGTAAATATATTTCAAAATGTATTAAACCTTTGATAATGCATTATAAATATATGTACAACTATATAGATAATTAATATAGATATAATTATTAATATAATTAATAATTGCATATATATTTAATTATGTGCACATCTTTATATCACGATTGTGCATTTTTTTTGCATAATGTAGATTTTTAAAAAATTTTCTGAAAAATGTTTTCATTCAAAAAATATATATAAATTTAGTGAAAATCAAGGTAACGTATAAAAATAATACGTATAGAAATTGCGTCTAAGAATCAGAATATCCATTATGTTGATGAATCATTACATTTTGCCGCATCTTATGTGTCATCAAGAGTCATCAGGAAGAGTAGAATATGGACAAGTTTTTTAATTTATCGATTAATAAATCATATTATGCGCATATGCAACTTTGCTCTATAAAAGTAACATTTGCGCATTATGCGATTAATTAATCGAATTAAAAAACTCGTCTTATGCTATAGAATCATTTATTTTAGTATCACCCTGTATATCGATTGTGATTGGTACATAAGTTTTTAGACTACCAATCAAATTTATATTTTTAAGGAACACTTAAAAGTCACTAGTTTTCACGGAAGTTTTGCGCTCGAGGATTGGCAATCCTTCTTATGTGGTAATTATGGCAAACTCTCATCGCCAATCACAAGCAACTTCATGTTATTGAAACGAACTTTCCTCTTGACTTAACTTGTTTCAAGGTTAGCTCCCATTTTCCTTTTCTCGTGTGGTTCGTACCGATTGGAGTCGGTGAGATATAGCTTTTCTTCATCCATTTTTATTTTTTGACATCGTGGTATATATTAAATATTCTCTTGCATATCATGCTTCTTGAATCTATTCTAAATTTATAGATTTGTATATTTTTCCGTATATATATGTATTTATTTTTTTAACATGGAAATTTAATTTACAGGTTAAAATGGGACGCCGACCAGCGAGATGGTACGTAGTTTATTGCCTTCACAAATTGTGTTAATCTTTTTAGCAAGTTTCACAATATTTTTTTCTGCCATATGGTATTTTATACAAAAGTCAAGTACTGTTTTCCATATGTCGATGTTTATGTGTTATTAAGATTTCTTTAGGCATACCTATGCAATTTTTTATCAATACTTACGATTGCATTATTTTGCGTAATATGACAATAAAAACTTCTAATTTGATATGAAAATTTTAACTGAGATTTGATGTTAAAAATCATGATATTGCTGTAATATTGCTTAAAAAAAAATTTTTTTCTTTTCAGTTATCGATATTGTAAAAATAAACCATATCCGAAATCTAGATTTTGTCGTGGTGTGCCAGATCCAAAGATTCGAATTTTCGATCTTGGGAAGAAGAAAGCATCTGTAGAGGACTTCCCATTATGTGTGCACTTAGTGTCGGACGAATATGAACAACTCAGTTCTGAGGCTTTGGAAGCTGGACGTATTTGTGCTAACAAGTACATGGTGAAAAATGCTGGAAAAGATCAATTTCATATTCGTATGAGACTTCATCCGTTCCATGTTATTCGCATCAATAAAATGTTATCGTGTGCTGGAGCTGATAGGTATGTAATCACATGATAATAAGATAACAAGATTTATTTTCTTTCTAGGATGTTTACTCCTATTTACGTTTTACTATTCTTGTGAAATTTTTCATGAAGCTTTGATTTTACATCCTTTTATTATCTGATATACAATTATTCTTGATAGATTGCTGTATTCTATTCTTTTATAGGCTTCAGACTGGAATGAGAGGTGCCTTTGGTAAGCCTCAAGGTACTGTGGCCAGAGTACATATTGGTCAACCTATTATGAGCGTGCGTTCCTCTGATCGCCATAAGGCGGCTGTCATTGAAGCTCTGCGACGTGCGAAGTTTAAGTTCCCTGGGCGTCAGAAGATTTACGTATCAAAGAAATGGGGTTTCACGAAGTACGATCGCATAGAATACGAGGAATTGAAAGCAGCAGGTCGTCTTGCCCCAGATGGTTGCAATGTCAAGTATCTACCTGAGCACGGACCGCTCGATGAATGGAAAAAGTTCAGGAAAGTACTTGCTGCAGCTTAAACAAGCATGGGACATATTTTGGACATTGAATTGAATAAAATATATAATCATAAAAATTGAAACATGTATATATTTATTTAAAACACCTGAAAATAGTTTAAAAATTTGTTCAATATATAATATCTTTTATATCTTTTTTTTATTAAATTTTGAATCACTATTATATTTTTAAAGTTCATTAATCAATTTTATTGAGGAAGATTGTAGAGTGATGCTATAATTAACAAGACTCGATTTCTGATTTTTTAAAAAATATTTTAGTACTGCAATTATATTCGAAATTCGATAGCTCAAATTTTTTGCTTTGTTTTTTTACACTTTTAGTCAATTAAAATGAATATATTTTTTTCTTGTTCTCCATTCATGCATAGTGCTGTGACCCTAGGGGGAAATTGGAAATTCACTAGAGAAGAAGAATAGAAATATGCAGGCGTTTAGTAAACAGTTCTTTTTTCAAATATGATTACGACGTGAAGTGATAGTCGTGCGTTTCGTTGATTATTCTAATGGTATAGAGATCAAAAGCAGGGTTCGTGTTCAAAGGTTTCAGGGATCAAAGAATAGAATAGCATATAGAAAATTATGTTCATCTCATGTATACAATCGTATAACCTCTCGTAAAATTATCACTCTGTGCCAACGATCCGTTTATTGTTAAAGCTCGACGATATCGGCGATAATATGTTAATGAACAGGTTTGAGATTGCGTTATTGAGCTTTTTACTTAGCATTGTATAATGCTATAAACCATAGAGATGTTACGACGAAACAGGTAACTATTTTACGCAACTGTCTAAATCACAGTTCTTCAAAAACGCATCAATACAATCGATTTTAAATAAATTTATCTTTTATAAAACATCGGATAAAAATATGTGAATTGTTTGAAGAAACTTGACAGTAAAATGAAAAACTAATCAACGAAAGAACATATTGAATAAAATAAATTGTTTATGACATTTCAACATTTTTCAGGATTATTGGTATTTAATTTGATTGATATTTTAAGCCAGTAAAACAAAAAAGCAAAAATTTTACGAACAATATTTTTTACAGTGTTCATATAAAATAATAATTGACCTGATTTTATTACGATAAAATATATTAAAAAATTGCATATTTTGTAATATGTAAAAAATGATTTAACTAATTAATAATTGAACAGGTTGAAACATAGAGTAATACCCATTGGTATCATTGTTCTCATGACAATATATTACAATGAATTTGCTGTGTATGAAGTACAAAAATTCAAATGGGCCATGCGAGAATGCTCAGAATGTGTTAAGGTTCTTCTTGTTGCCGATCCACAAATACTTGGGGAAAGATTTGAAAATTATTTTGGCTCATGGATAGCAAGATGGGATAGTGATAGGTATGGCTAGTAAATACCTATTAATCAAAAACAAAAGCAACAGGAAATTTTATATTTTGTTGAGATTGATCTCAGTTTTATCTCAAAGCATCCTGTTACTTTACAGGTACTTAGAGAAAACCTTTTCGAAAGCATTAAAATTTTCTCAGCCGCATGTTATTGCCTTCTTAGGTGATCTTATGGACGAGGGCCATGTAGCTAATGTAGAAGATTTTGAAAAGTACAAAAGGAGGCTGGATTCAATATTTTCGATGCCAGATGACATAATGGTACTTATTTTAATTACACAATATCTTTTTTTTTCTTCCTTTTTGCAGGCAGTTTGTATTTTATTGCTAATGTCTTCATTTGTTTTTCTTTTTTTTTAGAAAATTTATTTGCCAGGTGACAATGACATTGGAGGTGAAGATGATCGTGTTTCTGCTAGCATTCACAAAAGATTTAATTTTGCATATACTCAGCCGGATACGTTAATTTACAAGACCGTTACCTTTTTCAAAGTAAACATAAAATCTGTAGCTGTATAATTTTTGTGTATTCAATGGAAAAAAGTAAATATATATTTCGTTTTAGGTGAATAGATTGACACACACGATGCCAGAAGCGCCAAAGGATGCATTTCTCAATGATTATGCAGAAAGAAATACGACCAATGTTATTCTTAGCCATATGCCTTTATTATTTACACCTGGGAATTTTGTGCAAAGTGTATGTTCATGCATTGCCAAAGAAAGGAAATTTACATACGCTTGATGATCATTTTTTCTATGTTACTGTCTGTTATAGGTACTCAAAGAGTTGTCACCTCAAATAATTTTTACCGCGCATGAACATAAAGCAATGCACATAAGTCTGGACACGGCGACAGATCAATTGAGCGATGTTTGGATTCTACCGCCGTACGAGACGCATCTATATCAACTAAGGATGGACGTAGGGGACATTCATGAAGTACAAATACCAACCTGTTCTTACAGAATGGGTATGCCACATATGGGTTATGGACTTGTCTACATAGGTATAGAGTCGATTTTTTAAAATATTGATATATTAATGATTAAATACATGAATGAACTTGTACTTATGTACGTATGTTACAGATACTCAGGAGAAGACCGTTGACTTTACGATTTTGTGGCTACCAAATAGATTCTCGCAGTTACGGCTTTATATATTTATCATTGGATTGATTATCGTACTTGCCGCTTGTTCTTTCATCTCATCTTGTTATGTGAAGAGCTACGCTACTTATAATCGCATACCTTCCGCATAGGATAGCGTTTAATCAAAAGTACTTACCTGGCTTATTGAATTAATTTGGAGTTGTAAATTAGGTACCTTATTTGGAGTTGTAAATTAGGTATCTTATTTGGAATTGTAAATTAGGTACCTTATTTGGAGTTGTAAATTAGATACCTTCGTATCCGTCCAGACATGGTTCTTCGTTAAATGCGGAAGAAAGCAAGAATAACAGTTGTTTATTAACTATCATATATATCAACTATCAAACATGACAACTGTAACAAGACTTAATTATTAACTTTGAAAAATCTTAGATTTAGTCCGAAGCAGCATATCTTTAGGAAATTTCCTTTCCTAAATCTATAACGTGTTACTTATGAATGATATATTTGTTGATCTTAATCATTGTTATGTATATACAACATGACGGAAACTTAATGCCAAACACTTGATTAACTGCTCTGGCTTTGGGTATATAAAATCTTGACTGATATTCGAATTATAATTTGGATAATTTAGATCCTGCGCACAATAATAGATTAAAATAAAAGATAGAAATATTAGGAATAGGAATATATATTAAATTTTGGAAATGAAAATTCGAAATAGAGATTAAATAAAATAGAGAAACATGACGCACAATAGACACAAGTAAGCATTAGATATAGCCATATCTTTTATTTACGTGTATTCATTGTGCATTACATGATTTCGGTCGCTCGTGTAAAGCGATGCGCGTCCATTCACGTTCGTGGACGTGCGCCCTTCGTTCGAGATACTCTCGACGTGTCGTTATTACCGCCGGCTCCGTCAAGCCGGTCGGCGACACCCATTGTGTGTTACATTTCATTTTTATTTTGAATTTTCATTTTCAAAAAATTTAATATATTTATCCTATTCCTAATATTTCCTCCATTGTACGCAGACCTTTATGATTTAAAAATTTAAACTTCTAAATTTAGACTATTACAAAAAATTTAATAGATAGAAGTCAATCTGGTTCAATCTAGGTTCAAATCATGATTTCAAAAGTCAGACTTAACTATTAAACATCTATGTTTAATTTCTATCTTAATTCAATATTGAGGTTTTAGATTTATTTTTAGAATTATTTTTATTAATATTTGTAAAAATATGTAAAAATATTATGCTATTATTTCTAAGATAATTATTTTTTTTAATACTATTTTTTTACATTTTATTAATATTTTGTATAAATTCAAGTTAATCTAATTCTCTTAATTAATAGTTTTTAATTCAAGATAATATAAATTTCATCAATTAATTTTTTTATCCCAATTTTTATTTAAAAAACAACTGATTATGCTAGTTTAGCACAGTCAAAATATTGTAGCCATTTAATTAGGGGACCAATTTTAAATTATAATTTAAAAATCATATTTTGAATAAATACCGAGAGTTATAATGAATATTTATTTTTACAAAAATGTTTACTATAGCTAAAATGTATTCTATATTCCTAATTTTTTAACATTTCTATTTCATTTTTATCCTAAAGCCAAGCGTGGAATATTATGCATATAAAGATACGTATTATTATAATGTCGATGTTTTATTGTGACATTTTTGTGTGTGCCCTCATAAATACATGCCAAACATTAAAGCTAGCGCCAGATTATGTATGATTCATGATTTATGTACTTTGATTTTGTCAGAAAATCACTTCACTGATGAATTGCTTGAATATGTGAATAATAAATAACAAGTAGCAATTCTGATAACAAATCTCATTCGTAATCATAAATCATATATAAATAATAAATTATAATTCCCAAATCCATAATTAGCATGAATCGTGCATAGTTAAGCGTTAACTTAACGTGGCTTTTGTATACCACTGTATTATTTAAATTTCTCCTACAGTAGATAGTATAAAAATATATCTGTTTGAAACATATCAATGCAATATCAGCAAGATAATAAAAGAAGAAGTCCATCAATTGTATTCTTCTTTAGTTGACAAGATAAGAGATTTATTGTATTGTTGTAGAGTATAAAAACACATAATTGTTGAGCAAGAACACATATATGCAATATTTGTCTAAAATAAATGTTAAATGTTGAGATTTGAGTTTAGTTCTTTTGTCAATACACATTATTTTATGTAAATTTTTTTATTTTTATTAACAATTTGATAATTTCAACAGTTTCTTAAAAAGTTTAAAAAATTTTTAATTTTATTAAAAAATGATTTTATATGCTACACATTATGTCGCTTAATTTTAATTTCTCAATTATTCTAAGTGTTAATATCTGATATTTAATATCAAAACTAAAATTCAGATCACGATGTGATCTTCGCGCATGCGTGAGTCGAAATGAAAAATTAATATTTCATTTTTTGTGCGATAAAATTTTTAAACCTTTAACTCTATATAAATACTTATACAGTCAAAGTTTTAAACATATCGATTGGTTACAAGGTAGAAAATTTTTTTAACACCTAAAAATTTCATTATCTTATAACTAATCAATACGTTTAAAAAGTATATTTATACATAATAAATGAAATAGTATTCTGTAAGCAGAAAACCGTTGTACTCTCACATTGTACTCTCGAATAATTGCGATACTCCGATATTGCGATACTCGAACGATCTCGAGACTCCGATTATAATTTGAAGTAATGGCGCTTGCGGCCCGCGTGTCAACTCAACCGGAGTACCTTTTCGGAGCACGAGGTGCTCGGAATTGTTGCCGAGTTTCTGATCAGTTAAGTGGTCTCCGAATCACCTCTCGCTGATTATTATCGTAAATCTTTGTTCTCGATCCGTATCATCATTTCGTTCTCTATCTACGGTACACTGTTTGGATTTGTAATAAATTTGCATATAAGTTTTAAATTATGAATTTTATTGGAGATTACATCCATTCGCTCCTTTATTTCCGCTTCAGTGTTGGTCCACAATAGATAATTTAACCTTTAAAAAATAAGAAATTGACCAATCATAATTGAATATGAAAAGAATAATCGACTATGATTGGTTAATTTCTTATGGCTTAAAGATTAAATACCTATTGTGAACCGAGACTTACAATTCTTAGCCATATGATCGTGTCTATAGTGAGGATGTGTTGACAAGACTAAACATTTGATTGTTAAAATGTATCGCGTGACTTTGGTATCTCGTATATTGAGATGTGTCCTGCCAAGTATTGATTTTATACACTCAATAACAAATACTCAACGAAGTCTGTACAACGAAGTCTATAAAAATGCCGCAAAACCTTTACAACTTTACACAAAAATAAAAAAGTATTACTTCAACGATAGATATAAATCGCAAGATAAAAAATTCAAGATGCTTCTCGCTGTATCTTTACCAACTTTGATTTTAAATTATCTTTTCGATATCGAGGATACAAATGAAGAAGTCCCGGAAGTCATTACGACGATCAAACGATCTGTACTGTTAATACAGGTTAAGTATATAATGTTTATCACTTTACATTTTCAATATTATGTAAATATTAAATATATTAAACATATGTATTTTTTTGCTATTATGTATTACATAAGAGCATTAAGAATTATATATATTTATATTGCTAATTTATATTGTATATTGTATTGTTAAGAACATTTGAATCTTTATTTAAATCTCATACAGTTTCAGCAATATCTTCTTTCCCTTTGTAGAAGGGAGAATATAACAAGGCAGAACAAATGCTGCACTTAGCATTGCGCCAAGCGCAAACTATACAACATTATGATGCTGTGACATATATCTATGACGTAATGGCTAATCTTGCTTTCGAGACTGGTGACTATCGCAAAGCAGAGAAACTGTTTGTATCAGTTTTGCAAAGATTAATGTCAAATGGAGTTACAGAGGATGATATGCGAGTCATCCATATAAGCTTAAAGATGGCCAAAGTATTTGAACATTTAAACGAAATAAAGTAAGCAATTTGATTTGCTATTTATTTCTGCTTTTCATAAAACAAGATATTCATTAGGATATATTTAAAAATTTAATTATTTAAGACTTGTGTGCTTGTTATATTTCTAATTTCTTTTTTTATTACATATCCATTATATATCATATCGATTAATTTCAGAAAAGCAGAACAGGGCTATAAATTCTGTATGGAGAATTTAAAATTGCACGTTGAAAAAGATTTTGATAATAATGACGCTATATTACTGCAGGGTATGACTTTTGATTGGTATGCGCGAATGCTACTTTCACAGTCTCGACATACCGAAGCTTTTAACTATTTTCTTCAGGCCTATGACATATGTAAAAAGGTAAATGGCGAAAAACATGAACAGACTGTAGTTTTGCTTAATGATTTGGGTACAATCAGTTATATACGAGGAGAATATGATGAAGCTGTTAAATACTTATCTCTTGCAGCAGAAATAGGTAACAATATGCTTATAACTTTAATAATTGCTTGCAATTACAAAACATCCTATATATGTTTATAGGCAAAAACTTGTCCGACATGGTTGATTTGGGTTCAATTCATGTGAATTTAGGAAATGTATTTTTGAAAAAAGGTTTGTACGATGAAGCTAAAAAATCTTGTCAGCAAGGAAAGATAATAGCTAAGAATAGAGATGACAATGACTCCTTATTAGAAGCCAATAAATGCCTCAAGGAAATCAAGAGATTACTCTCGGTATAGCTCAGATATAGCTCAGTTATAAAAATATATGTATTTAATGAATAATATCTGTAAATATATGTAGAAAGATATTAGAAATTAATCTTTTTAAATGAGTTTTATAATTGTGATAAATGACTGCAAAATATAATTTCTTATAAAATGAGCTGGTTATTACTCAATATTCAATAGCCATTATTAATATAAGAAAAAACATAGTTTATTTCCGGAATGTTATAATTATTAT